TCTCTTAGGATTCCAATGAACCATCTCCACCCTGAATTCGAAAAATGATTTTAAAGACTGATTATGAAGTCAGGTGTCCTAAAAATTAAATCGCTCGTGCTACATTGCATATTCATGATTGATCGTTTGTTGAAAAAGAACTGCGGATAGCAAAACGCTTACATCAGATCTGAGCATGCCATTGCCATTCGTAACTAAAGGCGTTGCACTGATATTAAGTGCCGAATGGTCATAGCAATGCAGTCTGACAAAACATTTTTTAGATGATATTTCCTTTGGTACACTTCAGATCAGCTGTAGACGCCATCCCTTAATCGGTATCGTTTAGGGGGCCAAGGAGAAACTTGTGCAGACACTAATCGGTTCATTAATCATGCACTCAGTGCAATATCTGTGACACCTTTGACAGCAATAAAAAAATTTTTTAATTTAATAACCGTTGATAGCTTATGCTAAATTTTGGTCAATTATTAAATGGATCAACACGAATTGCAGTCATAAAAGCACTCATCAGGCAAATTGCTGCCTTGTAGGCTCTGGCATTGAAGCACCTGAAGAACCTTGTCGTAGCTTAACGGAATCTGAAGTTAATAAAGGGAATATAGAATCTGACCCAAAATCGTTATGTGGAGTCAAGCCAAACTACAAACTCCTTGTGTCACTGCCCCATCCATAAATAAATATCACTCCTTAGTAGATTTTACATCGGAATCTACAAGCATAACTCTGCAGCGACCGCATCATCATGGATTAAACGATTCAAGTCCGTAACAGTGAATAACATGACCCGTGTGAACATGACCCAAAATAAACTGTCGGCTGCATCAAAAATAATCAGTAATCCAAACGACTTGATCCTCACTCTTCGGAGAACAGCCGGCATTATGATCGGATACCTGTTTTGCAGATAAATAGGGGTGACGACTTCGTAGTCATTCGTCGAAATCAGTCGTTAAACCTAGCAAAACAAGGGAATCAAACCCACCATGAATCAAGTTGTCTCAATAAACCGACTTTCAATAAAGACTGAGACAAGTTCCGGCAATCAGTTACGCTCAAATCCAATGAGGAACGGAAAAACGGTCAAAGCCGTTGCTCTGAAGAAGCTCCCCTTGACAAACATCATAATATCGTAGCTGGTCGCTGACCGAAGCCGCAAAAATCCTTGTGTTTTCATTAGGCAGTGTCATCAAATGCTGCAACATACACCATCTCTACGAGATGACGCACCGATTCGAGGTGTAGAGGAAAATCCGAGAAGAGATGACTGAGTCCAAGCCCACTGAAAAAACCTCTGAACATGCCAAACTTCACAGAAACGTCAGCTGATGACTGACCTAATTCTGTCGATGTGAACGGAAAACGAACATTATGTCCAAGATATCTGGCAAGCGTAGGCAACAGCTAAAGCAATTTTTAAGATCGAACGAAATAAGACGTACAAGTAAACATGGCCTTCAGTTCCGTGCGTGAAGACGAGTGAGACTACGACGGGCTGCAACGCACGACTGGCGAATGACCGATGAAATTTAGCAAAGTGGATTGCTACCCAAAGGGCTACACGGAACCAACTGGAAGAGCTGAACTCGGACTAGAAACGATGAACTAAAAGAGGTGTATGAAAGCTTGTGCTGACAAATTGCACCAGACAGACGAAAGTGGACATCGAGAGTGGACAATGGGGATCCTCGTTAACTACGAAGCAAAATGAGCTAATTGTAGCTGTTACTGACAATATTCATACATCAGTTTATCTATTTCATGGTCGTGTTAAATTCTACAAGTCTGGATATATTAACTGGATTTGAAAGTACCTTCCGGGCAAATGCAATCAACGTATAGGTCGTCGGTGCCTTTCTGCGTGATTACGCAGGTGCTGTTATTCAGACAGTAGTCTTTGTGCTTGCAAGGATTGTAAAACTGGCACCTGGATCCAAGATAATCTTGATGACATCTGAAAATAGTAAAAAAACTGAAAAGCAGCATTTTTAAATTTAAATTGTAAATTTAGGAAACAGACTACGTGCTGAAAGAAATATAGAAAAGCTTGCAACCTGGTTAAAATGTTGGTCTGCTTTACACTTTCATTACGGGGTCATTTCTGACGCCCTTCTTTTCACGAACTTGATGTTTGAGCACTGATCTTTATTTCATGCAATGAGCCGGGAGTATCATGCTTTTTCAATGCAGAGACGACGGCAGCTGTTTAATCAGCATAGTGTGTAATCTCCTGTTTCCTTCCACAGAATGGTACTTAGTCACCAGTCTCAGAAGGAAGAAACGCGAGTGATCCTGAGAAAGTTGAACCCAGAACTTCTCGGTTCTGAACCGACGCTCCACCAACAGAGCAACCTCGACTTACCGTGATGACATTCAAAAAGGTCATAGAGTCAAAATAATTTACAAATATGTACGAGGAAACCATGATACATTCTGAAATGATCACATGAGAATAATTTCGTACTGTTAGCGGATCATCGACTAACCATTACTGAATAGCTGATTTGCAGGACAGCGATAGAATGATATTGATAGGTCCTACCCAAACAAATATAACGTCATAGGAAGCACTGCCGAAGATTCATCGATTCCTCCATTGCCATTTCATTGTATAAGGCGTCATGTCCATTTTTCCACTTATCGTACAGAACACCACTCATCTCTCTCCATTATATCACTCTTTTATAAACCGATTTTTCAATTCACTGTCGATTTCCCCATTATCCTCAAGAATGGCACCAATATACTGGAATTCTTGGGTTCTTACGTTTATTAAGTTGATGGCTTTCGCTATTTGCTGTTTTTTTTCCATTCTCCTTAGAATGACTTGTCTGTCCTTCATGACAGTTCCGTTTTCTGGTTTGAAAGCTAAAATCTGTTTTCTTAGACCTTCAATCCTCGATTCTTCATGTTTCTGCAACTGAATTCTTGGACATTTCCTTTTATTGGTTTCCTTCAGGCACTTCCAATTCCATCTGTTCGATCTGCTGCTGTCTTCATTTCTTTTCCTTTCTTCATTAATTAGTTCGTTTTCTTCGTGACTTTACATTCGATTAACGCCGTCCTTGTTCCGGAAGCGTTTTCTGCCGTTTGTTTAACTGCCTTCGTTATATCCTAATGCATGACGCTGATGTCCACTGCTTGTCCTGTAACTTCTTCTTGTATACCTTGAAGGATCAAATAGATTGAGTCTGAATAGTGGATGGTTCGTCATCAATATTATCTTACCTCCATTCTTCAGCAATTTTCTTCTTTACAACTTTGAGTGTAAGAATATTTCAAGAGCCTGTGATCGCTTCCTCCATCAAACGTTTCTATGTCCATCTTTCGTTAACAATAAATAACTTGTTCCTTTGAGTAAGCTCTTTTGCAATAATCAAAACAACCCCCAAGACACTGGTCATCTTCGGCGTTGAAATCACCAATAATTGACTTGTAATCGAATATTCTGGGATCATTTGGACTTCGTATTTGCTTGAAACTGACAGAAACAGTCTTACGCACCTAAGTGTTGTCTACTAGTACTAAATTGTACCTTAGTCTTCTCTAGATGATCAACGCTGCTCTCCTATACTTGCATTTGCTTATCCTCCACAGAACATTCAGTGGGCGTTTTCAAACTCTTCATGTACAACGGCCTCGATTTCATTTAGTTTTGCTGAGTCTTATAATATCCCACTTAATTCCTCTAGATTCTTCGTCCGACTGTTTAAGCCTTGCTTAGACTACAAGTGATCTGCAGTTGTTCTTTTCCAGCATCACTAAAAACCGCGTGTTCTCAGCACCCCCTGACTTCATACGTCGCCGGCAACAACCCAATTTCCGGCAAATCCGGGCCGTGCTTTTAGCTGTGATTTCATCTTGAAGGATTTAGTCATA